TCAATTTTTCTAATTGGTCCCAACTGGTGCGCTCTCCAACAAGAGATAATCACATTTTAGATCTAATCTTTACCAATGACATTGCTCCTCTTTCTGTTGCTTTAAAAAAGGACCTCTTTGACAGTGACCACGTATTAATTCATTGTTGCCTACCGCTTGCCTTTTCAAAAAAGACAAGCGCCGTTCAGACTTTCATGAACTACGACTGCGTAGATAGCGACTTAATAAATAACTATATGAGATCCTTGGATTGGTGTGGTTTCCTCACTTGTAGCGATGCAACCGTTCTTCGTGATGTCATGTCCAATGTTTCCAAGGACATTCTAGAGTTTGTGCCGCGTAGATATCTCAAGCCTAATTCTTCAGATTCTCTTGTTCCTCATTTTCTTCAGAACAGACTAAAAAAGTTGAGGCGACAACTGCGTGACCCATCCACTAGTTCCTTATCTGTTCATCTTAGAATCACAGAGATATTTGAGATGGCCTCAAGGATGCGCCAAGCGCGCGACAGGCAAAGAGAATCAATTGCTCTCAGTGGTTCGAACCCTGGCAAATCCGTCGCTAACATCTTCCGTCATCGGTCCTCCTCTAAGCGTGGTCATGAACTTCCACCCATGCTAAATGATAACAAAGTCTTCCTCACCGATGACACTGACAAAGCGGAGTTGTTTAGGGCTTTCTTTGCAAAACACCTTGCTACCGAGTTCGATCCGGTCCCTTTCTTTCGCTCACTTTCAGATAGGACACTTAGTACAATTGATGTCTCCTCAGATCTCATTAAGAAACACATAAGCCGTTTGAAATACTCCCACTGCTCAGGAACGGACGGGATTCCGAATTCGATTATTAAACAAGCGTCCGACTTTCCCATATTGCTCGGTTTATATTTCAAAAGGATTCTTTCCTGAAACATGGAAAACGTCAATTATCATTCCCGTTTTCAAGTCAGGATCTCGGTCCGATGTTAATAACTATCGGGGCGTGCACAAAACGCCGTCTCTAGCAAAACTTCTTGAAAGGATTATTTTCAATGAAGTTCTTGACTTCTGTCTAGCTAATCGGCTTCTGAGCTCTAGTCAGCATGGGTTTTTACCTGAACGATCCTGCGAAACATGCCACTTGGCTTTTCTTAATCTAATCACTTCTCTTCGTGATGAGCGGCAGTCAGTGGTTGTTATTTACTTCGATCTTAGCAAAACCTTTGACAAGGTGCCCCATAGACGTCTTTTAGTAAAATTGGAAGCCCTCGGCATCCGGCCGCCTCTACTCGACTTCATTAGGTCCTATCTGTCCAACCGATATCAGAAAGTCATGGTCGGTAATAGCAACTCGACACCTCACTCGATCACGAGTGGCGTACTTCAAGGCACGGTCCTGGGTCCGCTACTCTTTCTTCTGTACATCAATGATATTTCGACTGAACTCGGAAATTCGCAAACTTTTACTTATGCCGATGACCTCAAGTGTGTTTACTCATACTCTAAGGACACCGCAAATGTTTGTGTTGAAAAAATTAATGCCGATTTATTACGCTTAAGCAGATGGGGTTCGACATGGCAGATGGAGTTTTCATCATCCAAGTGTAGTTTCATGTCTTTTAGTACTACCAAACTTCCTGGTCCCATAATTTTTCAGAATAACCCACTCTCAGAATGCCTCACCATAAAGGACCTAGGTCTAAGTTATACAAATAAACTTGCTTTATCACCTCATGCAGATAGAATCTCTGCCAAAGCCGCACAGATATGTGGATTCTTATCGCATAATTTTTTCCTTCCGGAAATGAAGCTAAGACTTTATCAAATGTTTGTTCTTCCAGTCCTCGAATATTGCTGTCCTTTCTTCGGTTTAATGAGCGCCTGCGACCGTAATAAAATCGAAAATGTTCAGAGGGTTTTCACCCTGAAACTGTTCTCTCAAGCTTCGTCCAGTATTTTTTATACTCAGAGATGTCAGCTGGCGAACATGAAGTTTTTGTGGGTTAGAAGACTCGAAGCTGGCCTTTGCTTCCTTT